AACAATTTTTATAAGTTGGAAATAAATTTGGGAATAATCAAAATTAATTGCAAAATCCAGTGAGAGTCACCCATGAAATAAAAATAATTGTTTGTATAGAAAGTAAGGAACTATGTACATCAAATTGTCTTTAAATTAAATGGAGGCAGAAGAATTATCATTGAACTTTTAAAAGGTAAGTTTAAATATTAATGCAATACTTAAATGCAGCAATCAGTTTTGAGTTCTTCTGTAGTTTATTGTTGCCTATCACATCTACTCCTCCCTACTTATTGTTATGAAGGCCCAATAAAGATCCTTCCGCAGGAGCTAGCTTAAATGCCATTTGATAGGTTACATGAATAAAAAGTGCTTGACGTAAATTCAAATGACAAAAATACAGAGAAATTTAAAAATGAAAAACAAGCATCCTATTGTATAATGGGACATGTTGAAAAAAAAAAAACAAGCATTTAGTTTAAGGAATTGAATGTGCAAGTTATGCAAGGAGGAAAAGTTGTCAATAATGAAATATTGCAATCTGCATAAGTTACTAAATGAGAGGGTGATGACAGTGTGCAAGCATTCTAGAAAGGTCCCTTCAGAAAACAACAAGCCAGAGTAGAAAAGGCTTATATTTATAAAGCATATTTTTTTCCTTCGTCTCTCTCCTCTCACCAGCAGGAGGTGTATCTGTGGGAGTGTTTTAAGATGGATGTGAGACAGAAAGTCTAACTTAATGCCTGAAAATACCAAAGACGGTAAAAACCACAGTAGCAGAACGCTTAGTTTTCCAGTAAAATTTACTTTAAAGATCAGTTGAATCTGTTGAAACCAAGGTAGTGAATTTAATGGATTCAACTGAACTCCTGACTTTTAAAGCTAAAAGCTCTACATGCTATTTTTACTTTTATTTTATTTTTTTCACATGTGTATTGAGCACTTTTTAATACCACTGTTTCCTGGTATGATTCAACTCTGACCATTAACCTTTTATGTATTTTATATATATATATATATATATATATATATATATATATTAGACAAAAAGAAAACTTATCTTAGCCAACATGTTTCATCCTCTGGAAGACTTTATCAAGGCAAGTGTAAGGATTTTATTTTGTGACAAGTATTTATATACAAGAGCAAAGATGTTATTGGTTTTTCATCAGGTTAACAGAAAAGTTGGGCAAGTTCATGGACATGAGGTGATACAATTCAATGTCTAATAGATGAAAGTGGGTAGGTGATGTGTATATATATATATATATATATATATATATATATATATATATATATATGCACGTTATTATTTAAGCTATTTTGGATTGGGATTGATTTGTGTGTTATATATTTCAAATAACATGAGAATCTGGATTTAATCATTTTCTTTTAATTTTTTTTTTTTTAGTATTTTTGTGGTCATATATCTTGGCTTGGGAAAGTAGTATTTTTTCAGGAAAGGAAATATTGCTTTGATAAAGTCCCTCAGACACATCAGCTAAGATGAGTTTTCCTTTCGTCTTTATTCACATTGTCCGTTTACACATATACTCCACCTGAAATTTTTACACAAACACACACACACATGCACACACTATATATATATATATATATATATACATATGAGACCTACCTGGAAAGTAACGGGACTGGGTATGGTGTGTGAGCCCTGGGTGAGGCGGGAAAATGAATTGTGTTATCATCTAACATATCTTAGGAGTATATAACTGTAATCTTAGCTTTCTGCAAACATTGAATTTCTTTTTGCACATACTTTTGTGGCAGGACAAATTGTGGCTACTTCCCCATGACAATGCTCTTGGTATCCAGCAGTTCCTGACTGAGAAAAACGTTGCCATACTGGGACAACTTCCCTATTCACCTGATCTTGCTCTGTGTGTGACTTTTTTCCTTTCTCCCACAAGCTGAATGGTATCATCAATGGGGACCCATTTTAAAGGTGTGGAGGCAATCAAGACAGGTGTAATGACAGAGCTGAGAGGCATCCAAGAAGAATCCTTCCAGCAATGCATAGAAGCGTGGTAGACAAGGATGGAAAAGTGCATTAGACTTGAGGGAGGTTTAATTTGAAGGGGAAACCATGCAGGCTGTTGTTTGAAATTGAAATAAATGATTTATGACACCAGTCCTGTTACTTTTCAGACAGACCTCGTATACACACACACACACACACATATATATATATATGCTTTAAATAATGTATATTTGGGCAGCAAATGCTTTTTTTCTTTTATACAGATATTATTGAATGCAACATAAAATGAAAGACGATTATGTATTTTAATCAACTTTACTTGGTTTTAAACCAAATGCTTTACATTAGATGGAAATCCATGAATAAACAGTCTATAGTTGAATTGAGAAAGAGTTGAAAATTCAAAATGACAAAGAAATTTTTTTTAAAATGTTTCACTTGAATTTTCTTGCTTATGCACAAGAGAGCATATGTTCAATGAATAGAGATACTGTCTAAATGTCTGTAATTTCAACTATATTCCTGCCCATTTAAACAAGATTATACATTATATAGAAATATTTCCTTTTCTCATGTTCAAATACCTTTAAAATTCTTTCAAATTGGCAGCTGATCTCAAAAACAACCTATGATCTGTTGTTAACTGGGGCAAGGAATGGTTTGTTAATTTTAATGCCTCCAAAATGGAATAGCTCTTTTTTAATCATCTGGAGAGTGATACATTGTGCCTTCTCAGGCTAACATTTTCAGCTGACATGAAGTGGAAAGATTATATTGAATCAAATACTACTAAGTCAGCTGCTAGGAAAGTCAGTTCATTGTGTCATGCTAGATAATTTTTCTCACCAGAATCTATCTTACCCATATAAGTCTACCATTTGTCATGTATTGAATATTGCTGCCACATCTGGTCTGATGCTTCTCCTATGTATTTAGAGAATCTTGATAAAACAGAAAGATGAATCTGTAATGTTATTAGTCCTGACCTGGCATCTCAGCTTCAGTCACTTTCCCGCTGCTATAATGTAGCTACTCTGTTCCTTTTCTACAAATATTTTCATGGTAATTGTTCTGATAAAATCTTTCTCTATGGTACCAAAATTTCATGTATTTAAGTGCATTACTAGATTGGCAGCAAGGTCTCATCATTTTACAGTTGAAATGGTTAGATAAAACAATAAGTTCAATCCTAACAGTTTCTCCTATCGCACTTCTCTCTTGTGGAAATCTCTTCTGGCTTGCTTCCCAGTCAACTTCGATTTTCGAACATTTAAATGCAATGTCAATCATTATCTTTAGTCTTCCTAATATCTGTCCTTTTATTGCCCTCTCTCCTTAACAGTATTTTTCTGATATTCTCTAACACTCCCTTGCGTCTTAGTGACTCTATTGCCTGGTTTGGGGTGAAATGATTTTAAAAAAAAATTGGCATATCCCAGACATCTGACTGGCATACAAAATTCTTCATTGAATAAATATATCATCAACTGTTAAAAAGTTCACTCTGATATATGCTCTTATTGTAATAAAACAATAAAAATCAACTGAAAAAAAAATCCTTGTTTTTCTGATGTGTTCACTTTCACAATAATGTCTTTAGGAAAGGCATGAATCCATCTCTTCTCCCCACCAGTTACTGTTTCACTAGCAGGGTACACTGGGTTTTCTAGCCTTGGGTGGTAGTCAGTCTTGGCAAACAACTCTGAATTCAAAACTGTGAAGGCAATAGAAAATCATTCCACTATCTTTCCCAAGTCGTCATGGCAAATCCTGCCACTGAGATTACATATTTGTCAAGAGACCTGATGGTAAAATTTTACAATAAAGTTTTCTAGACATATATATATATATATATATATATATATATATATAGATATAGATATATATATATAAAATTGATAAAAATAAAATTTGTCACTTAGCTGATTGATGTTATATCCAGCAACTTGACTCTAGAGATTCATATATGAACTTTTGGTAAATGTTCAGTACACACATCAAGAGGTTTCAGATATACATATCTCACTCTTTCTCTTTTTTCTCTATATATATGTGTGTGTGTGTGTGTATACACACATATATATATATATACACACACACACATATATCTATATATGCCTACACATATATTTCTATACATACACCTCTCTCTCTCTCTCTCTATATATATATATATATATATACACACACATATGCACACATATCTATATACATATATATATATATATATAGACACATACATCTCTCTCTTGCTCTTTCTTTCTCTCTATATATATATATACACACACATGTACCCATCTCTATATATTATGACACACACACACACACACATATATATATATATATATATATATATATATATATATATATATATATATATATATATATATATACTTATAAATTATTAGGAGGATTTGAGATAATCATAATTAAGTAATTCATTGAGTCTAGAAGAAACCTCAACAGCAGAACTATATTGAGTCTAATTTATTACCACTTCGTCACTGAGGTCTGTTGGCACAGTTGTTATGACACTTGTCGTATCATGACAGTCTGGGTTTAATTCTCGGTAGTGGATGCACACTGCTGATGAGTCTGAAATATAAAACAAAATGGCTATCCAGTGCTTTCTGCATTCTGTTGAGGTTTCTTCTAGTCTCAGTCAATTACTTAATTGTGATATATATATATATATATATATATATATATATATATATATATCTGTATACACACATCTATAATTTTGCATCATTATATATTCCTACTATAAGTATGATATTTATATATTTTATATGTTTAATTCATACATGTTTAATATATTATCATCTATACATAATTTTGAATTATAGCCATACTCATTTTGACAGATTTTTCATTTTGAAATATTCTTTCATACAAGGTAAGTAAAAAGAAAAAAACATTACAATCTTTCTTTATACCCTTCAGTAAAATGTCCTTCATCCTAAGTTCATTCCTTCCACAGATGGTCAACACACACACAAACCAAATACCAAAGAGTTTTTCATAAAAGCATTAGATACTTATTAACATTTGGCAAGTCGGTCACCTCTTTAGGGAGTTCACTTGCAGTCTTTTCATGTTCTGTCTTTGTATCACTACTGCTAGCAGGGAGTGACTCTTCCGCAGTTACCTCCCTTGAAGTAGCAGTCACAGTGGCCTTTTGTATGTGTGTCTTTTGATGCTGTTCTCGTGTATCCCGTCGGGCAAACCGCAGCATACAGGTGTTACACTGAAACGGCTTTTCGTGTGTATGTGTCAGAGAATGTTTACGCAGTTTATCGCAGGTAGAGAATTGCTTGAAGCACACCTCACATGCAAATGGCTTCTCCCCTGAATGGCACCTCAGGTGCACCAGAAGGGTGTTGCGTTGAGAGAACCGTTTCTCACACACATGGCAACTGTATGGCTTCTCCCCGGTGTGTACGCGCCGATGAATCTGCAGCTTGTCCCGTTGTGCAAACCGCTTTGGGCAGAGGTCACAATGAAATGGCTTCTCTCCAGTGTGCGTCCGATAGTGCACTTGAAGCGTGTCACGGCGAGCAAACCGTTGGAGGCAGATTTTGCATTCAAAGGGTTTCTCTCCTGTGTGAGTCCGGCGATGGATTGCTAGGTAGTGTCTCTGTGCAAACTGCTTGTAGCAGGTGTCACACTGATATAAGGGCTTTTGTACAGACCCATCAGCTGATGTTGACTTTGATTGTTTGTTACTGGTGTTGCTGGAGGTAATCAAATCTGTAACATAGTCAACACTAGTTGTGATAGTTGGTGCTGGGGGCGCAATTTTTATGACTGTTGATCTTTGCGTATTTTTCAAGTCACTGGCCAGTTTTTCTTCTTTTTCTTCAGCCATGTGTTGTTGTTTTCGAGCCTCTTGTTCTTGGAGGTCCTCCAATTGCTTCTGTTGTTGACAGATATCATTGTAGGAAACCTCATCAATTGTCTGAAGTTTCAGCTTAAAAGGAGCCTGTCTCATATTTTGCATTGCAAGACATTTACAAATACAACCTCTACACTCAGCATATAATTTTATGTTTAGATGCAAATATAACTTGCATAAGTTTTAATCAAATTCTGTACTTTCCTGAACATCTAAATAATATCTCATAACTTAGACCATAGTAATTATATTTTTATTATTATTATTATCATATTACTATTATAATATATATAATAAATTATAATTTACAAGTTTGTATTATTTGAACTTAAAAATTAACTAAATGCAAATCTGATAAAGGAAATAGAAAACCCAAAGCATGTACCAATATTTAATAAAAAAAATATAGTTTTTGTCTACAAAAAGTTTAATTAATTTCTATTCTTTCCTATAAGCCTAAATAATATTTATCATGTTGTACTGGTTGAACATCTGAATAAATTGTTAAATGAAGATTTTAATTAAATTGTAATGCATGTCCCAATGTGACATCTGCACTCTACATATAATTTTATGCTTAGGTGTAAATGCAACCCGTGTAAATTTATTCTGGTTACTAGTAACTGATGGATGACTGGGGGTCAGTAAATTTTGTTTACTGATACCAAATTTAAGTGTACAACATACTTATTAACCTTTAGCACTCTGTAGATGACTATTTTCACCAAGAAAAATGTTAGTCCTGCCAATGCAAGTTGAATTTGAATTTCTTGGTTGTGTAGTCATATCCTTCTATGGCAACATCTAAAACACTCTTGATTGAAATTGAGAGCCAGGCTACTGCAATTTCAAATATATAGAACTAATATATAAAACATTATATTTTGATGAGATTCCATATACAGTAAAAGGAGAAGTAATATTTATAAATGATGCAGAGTGTTAAACATTAAACAATAAGTAACATATATAAAAAGAATTAAGAGTTAAAGCAATAAAAAAAATTGATTTGTTTCAATTCAAAACTGTTTTAGCAACAAACAATTTTCATTATCTCGTATAAAAAGTAAATGAATTATTTTTGTAAATGTAAAAACTTTATATGTTCAATGTTATTTTATATGTAAAAACTTGTATGTATGTATATATATTATATATATTATATATGTATTTTATATTTTAAATGTAAAAACTTTATATGTTCAATGTTATTTTATAACAGCATTATAAGTGAGGGGCTCAGTCAGGTTATATTGCCTTATACACATCACTGTTACTATGGCTGCAGTACATGTGGTGCCACTATGGCCTTAATAGATTACAAGACTTGTGATGTGACAATTTTATAATAGAATAAAAAGAAATTGAGTTTTTGAAAAATCATAAGCAAACCAAATAATGGCAATTATTTTTCTAATATAAATTCTAAATTGCTCTCGGGATTAGTGATTTGCAATATAGTTTCTTTGAAGGTCAGAACAAAATTTAAATGAAATTTGAGGATAAAACAAAATAAGTTTTAAATAAAAAATATACTTGTAGTGATATATAAATGACTGCTTAATTCATATAGCTGTAGTGTAGTCTACATAAATACCAAAACAATAAGATTAGAGCAGTTCTTGGTATGTGAGATGAATGACTACCATGCGACTGATAAAATACAAAGGAAATATCACTTCAAAACAAATCTTTTAACATTTCAAAGTAAGAAATATCTAGTATAGTTTTTTTTTTTAAGGAACACCTAATTCTTAGACTTTGTAATTTGAAACTTGATAAAATTGATTTAATAAGTACATTTTTTTCTCCTGAAATTGATAGTTTCTTAAAATATATATAACTTACAAATACTACTGATTATGGAAAACTTTATGAAAAAGAAAAAATGAGACAGCTGCGGTGTGGTTAAAGTCAGTTAAAATTTGTTTTTAAGAAATGAATAAAAACTGGTTTGGGAGAAAAATTTGGTTTGTAACAAAAGTTTTTTCTTATATGTAAGAATGTATTTGTACAATCCACTTTGAGGAACAGTCTTAATTTTTTCTTTCTTTTTTTTCTTTTCTTTTCTTATAACAGGTGATCAATTATTGGTGGATTGTAGGAATAAATAGTTACATCATTTTTAATCTTTTTTATTCGATATCACTGCTGTTTGAAGCTCATAGAAGAACAAGAAGCCATCTTTGATCCCAGCATCCTTTGCAAATCAACATCATAATTCACTTTTATTCAATAAAGAACCTGAAAAAGAAAATAACATTTCTTTACTGTTCAATGCACACAAAATATTTAAAATAAAAATTTGTTTGCTATTAATTTTACAAAAAACCTTTCCAGTGCAAAAGTGTTCCCATATTCTTTAATTAACTTTTACTACTAATTTGATCAACTTTAACTATAGCAATGTTAGTGGGTTCAGCTTGAATAAGAGGACTGAGAGGTTTAAAAGTTGATTAACCTTTCTATTAAACAATAAAAAGGAATTAAGACCAAGACATTTTAGCATTATTTTAATGAAATCTGCAATAGCTATTCAATAGAACAGTACTCTTTTGTACCAATTTTTTTTATCAATTCACTCCAAGCAAGGTGATAACACCACAATGACTCAAAAGGCTACTGAAAGTGAAAGAGAAGAAAAAGAATTTAAAAGAAACTGGAAACACAATAATACAAAGAGTAAAAATTTCAGAGTTTATACCGAAACATTAACAGTGTAGAGTTGAAGTAGAATTTAGAAAGGACCAGAAACTCTGAGGAGGACTGTGAAAAGTACAATAGTCGAACCTAGCTACTCCTATTGGGAGAGAAGAAAAAATAAATAAATACTTAGTGAATAAAATTTCAGAGTTTATACAGAAACATAAGAAGTATAGAGTTGAAGTAGAATTTAGAAAGGACCAGAAACCCCATCCTAAACAGGAAACAAGGGATAAACCTCTACTCCTGTCCAAAAGACCAGGGAGGAGTGTGAACTGGATGATAGATGAACCTATGAACCTTCAGAGTTTAGACAGAGATGTTAGAAGTGTAGAGTTGAAGTAGACTTTAGAAGGAACTGGAAACCCAGTTCTAAACAGGAAACAAGAGATAAACTTCTACTCTTATTCAAAAGACTGGGGAAGAGTGTAAACCGAACAATAGGCAAACCGATCTACTTCTATTAAATATAAATAAAATCTGTAATAATCAGGCTGGGGGTAATTTTTCAACTTATAAAATAAGTGTGCCACTTCAAATAAACATTTTTCCAAAGCTTTTTTTAGATGAGTTTAATAAATGTGGAATAGAATATTCATGCTGTGGAGAAAATTATTTGAAAAATAATAAGTGTGTGGTACCAAATAAGCACCATGCCAGGGTGGGGTGGGGGAAAGAAATTGAAGGAAATAATTTAATCATTCTGAGATATGAGAGTTAAAAAAAAAAAAGTATTGCATTTTTATATTTGTTATGTTGGTGTGAGTTCGTTTAAAACATCCTCGTTGTGAATTTGTTTCAACAATCTTTGGTGTTAATTTGTTTCAATTTCATCCTCGTCGCCACTGTTATGTTCTGACAATCCTCGCTGGAACTGTTATATCCCATGCTAAGGGAATAAATACTTAACACCAGGTGGATACTAGAAGAAAGATGTATTGTACACAACCAGTACAATATGAAATACGGTACAGTTATACACACAGGTCAATCTAGTAGTGAGTGCCACTAATTGGAAGGTCGGACGTGCTTGCGTCTTCTCGCTCTCACTCTTCCCTCGAGTCTCTCATAGACAGTTAACTTTATAGGTACTTACTACCTATAGTGTAATCATTCATGAGGGTGCCAGGTTATCCCATTACATCAATATTTATTATTACAATTTTTTTAAAAAACCAATCTATGAAAACACTTACAGTCACATCACATTTATGTGTATCCCATGTACCTATATTGTGTGTTTTTCCAAGCATTAATTGACTTCATATGCAATAAAAGAGTCGATGATAAATCTAAGAAATATTTATCATGGAGAAAAAGATAGCACTCAGACCATTTCATCAACCAAAATTAGCAGCTGAAATTATATTTAGATAATATACTTGTAAATTATGTTTATATGCACCAAAAGTAAACTTTTAGGGAAACTTGGCTTACAGCCATATCATGTTGAAACAGCAGTTCTCGTACGATCATTAAAGTTAACCAATGTCAAGCCTGGTCAGTACCTAGATGGGTGACCATTTGGGAATATCAGTTGTTGTAAGCTTGGATGTGTGGATAGTTTAATGGATAATGACTCGTAATTGTTAATTAGAGAGGCAAGTTCCAATTCCTGTTGGGTTTGTTATATTCACTTACATGCAAAATATCCTTGGGAAAGGTATGAATCCACCTCTTTTCCCCTCAGCTATGGGTTAATTAGTAAGACTTGAATGACTAACTCATTATTATCTCAAAAAAGAAATTCTTGCAATCTAAAAATATTTTCTGGCTTTATAGAACCTGATAAACCGTAAAACTGAATCAATCAATCTATGAAGATATTAACAAAAAAACAAAAATAAAAAAAACAAATATGCCAGACATGTTTTGAAATCACGCCAATGGGAAATAACAAATCATATTTTCTATCAACGTTTTTTTTTTTAAGAAAAAGCCATTTCATGCCTCAAGTTTTCTGAAAGAAGTAACACTTTATATGTAAGACAAAAATGATTACTATTTACATGATTTATATTCAGACTATTGTCCTCATATTTGTTGTTGTTATCATATTTCGGCCTTTGCACCATCTGGACTTCATCAGGTGTACAAGGATGGGCTGAAAAGTTCATAGGCTGACTATGAAGGAGTGATGCTAAAGCTGTGAAATCTTGCATGCATTAATTTCAACTCCTCTTATTAATAACTGCATTGGTTCTTTCTGAGTAAACTGACATCTGACCGTTCAAAGACGACTTCAAAAGTAACTGGTAGTGAATTCTCTTGAAATTGAACCAAATTTAGCATCATAGTATTATCAAGTACCTGCAGAAAAAGGGTTTAGCCCCCTAGGGTATTTATGCTGACATCTCACCTGGTTTTTATTTTTAGCACTGATCTGCCTAGTGAATTAAAGTAGATTATAGCCTAGTGCATTAAAGCATTCACTTGTGAATTTCATGACATAGTAATTGAGTTCAATCCCTGGGTTGGGCAGTGAGTACTTGGGCTGAGTGGAAACAGAGCAAGCAATAACTAATCAGTACTAAGGAAGGATAAAAACTAGATAAGATATATCTAGACATGGGCAGTCAAATGAGAACAGTCTACCCCAGTAAATTAAATAAGGGGTTCAGTTCAGAAACCCCTGTAGGTTACCTAGATCAATATACACCTGATGAAGGCCAGATTGCATAATGGCTGAAATGTTATGATGGTAACAACAAAGACAAAAACAATAGTCTAAATGTAAATAATGATAACTCGTCCCAGAAATTCAGACAGAAAAAATGATTATGAAAACCATTCAATGTCAGCTGAAAGATCAAAAATAAAATTACTTTTTTGTATTGCACAGACTGATTTAAGAAAATGAAGGAAGAAATTGTCCAGTCTTATAACATGTAATTGTACAGATTAACTCTTCTTTGAGTTATGTATAACAAGAAACTCTCCAAAATGTATAAATAGGTAATCGATATTCAATTAACAAACATGTGCAATGGGTGATTTTTTTCTTAATATTTCAATGCTTCTTTTTCCTATTGCCCTTGGAAGAAGAAAATGATTTTTGTTTGTCTGTTGAAAATATAAAGAAAGAAATGAAAATTAAGTAGAGTAGAATGAATATCAGAATTAGCAGCAGATGAATTTGAAAAAAAAAGAAAGAAAAAGGAAAGAAAAATAACAGAGAAGAAAAATAACAAAATAAACAAAAAAGAAAACAAAAGAAAGAAAAGCAAAAAAGAAAAAGAAAAATGCAAATAAAGAGAAAGACAAGGAAAAAGAAAGAAAAGCAAAAAAGAGAAAGAAAAAATGAAAAGAAAAAAGACTAGCAAAAGTGAAAAAAAGAGAAAGAAAAAGGAAAAAGAAAAGCAAAAAAAAGAAAGAAAAAAGAGAAAGAAAAGTAATAAAAGTAAAAGAAAAATGAAAAGGAGAAAGTAAAAGAAAGAGAAATAAAAAGGTACAAAGAGATAAGTAATCAAAAGAACAAATTGTTTATATTAAAAAAAATATTTTTTTCTACCATCATGGGAAAAAAATTAATGCAGTCAAAAATTTTTCCAGAAAGGGTTACGTAACATTTAAGAAGTCAGTAATAAAATGACATTTGCTTAAACAAGTAAATAGATAAAAAAAAAAAAAAAAAAAGACCATCTAAAAACGTATGTAAGTAAAAAAAGAAGTCACTAAGTGAGAGTCAAAGACAGAAAAAGAAAGAAAAGCAATAGAAAAAAAAGAAGGTTAATGACTCTCAAGTCAGCCATATTAACAGTTTGATGTAGAACACCTGTTTGCAAGGCAGGGTTTAATTCCCACGGCCTTTTTCCAACAAAAAAAAAAAAAAAAAAAAAAATGAAAAGAAAAAGTGTCCTGATGAGGTTTGAGGTTAAATTGGTTTTCAAGCCTTTTCTTTAAAAAAAAAAAAAAAGAATAAACTTTGGTATTATATAAAAATTAAGGGGATGTGAAATGTCATGTTTCATTCAAATAATAGCTCTAAAAAAAATAAGGCTTTTTTTAAGGAGTTTAAAACTAATTTATTTTGATAATTTTCTAAGCATTTAAAATGCTTCTTTTTACTAGCATTTAAAAGATACAAAAAAGGACTCACATCATGGGGACAATCATTTATCTTTATTAAATTTTATAACTAGAATGTATATATTGTTTATTTTTATAGTAATTTCTACTTATATATATATATATATATATATATATATATATATATATATATATATATATATATATATATATTCTACTTACTTTTGCTCTACTTACTGTATTGAGCACTTTTTGCTTTAACTTATTACTCACCAGGTTTTTTTTTTTTTGTAGCAGAGATTTAAGGTACTAGACAATTTCTTTTGCCCTGTTCAGAGGTTTCTGGTGCTTTCTTTTTTTTTCCCAACTTTACAAGTACTACAGTAATACATAAAAGGACTAAGTCTGAAATGTAATGCAAATTACTTAATCTCTGATTCCTGTAGCATTGCACCCTGGTTAGATTTAGATGTCACTTCTTGGGTAATGGCCATGCATTGATGCCAAAAAAGGGGCATGATCAAAAATGGATTCCACTGTTGAAAAATAACAGTTGTAAAAAAAAAAAAAGTTGAAGAAATCATTCTGTTTCATTCTTGTGCATCAACATCAAGACCAGACTTTAGGAAATGAAGAAAGCAAAGACTGTCAGATAGGGTTCATTCTTCATAGTGCTGACAGCGGTGAGCTGTTGAAACAGATCCTCATTTATGGAACTTACTGACAGCTTAATTAGAAAAAGCCATAAGAAACAGCTCCATGGCTCCCATTTTATGCAACTCCGTTCTGCCAGCTTAATTAGGAAAAGTCATAAATCACAGCTCCATGGTGCCTATTTTAGCTCCCTTCTGCCATCTTAATAAGGAAAAGCCATAAATCTCCATGGTTCTGCCATCTTAATTAGGAAAAAGCCATAAATCACAGCTCCATGGTTCCTATTTTATGAAAACTGCCCTTAATTAGTGCCAGCTACGTGGTTTTAATTTTTTGAAGGAAAAGCCATAAATCACAGCTCCATGGTTCCTATTTAACAAAAGGCATAAATCACAGCTCAATGGTTCTATTTTATTCAACTCCTTCATCTTAATTAGGAAAAGCCATAAATCACAGCTCCATGGTTCCTATTTTATGAAACTGCCAGCTCTTCTACCATCTTAATCTTAATAGGAAAAGCCATAAATCACAGCTCCATGATTCCTATTTGGAAAAACCATGAAACTCCATGGTTCTTATACAAGAAACTCCCTTTGCCATCTTAATTAGGAAAAGGCATAAATCACTATTTTATGCTCCAGCTCCATGGTTCCTATTTTATTCAACTCCCTTCTGCCATCTTAATCCATGGAAACTCCCTTCTGCCATCCATTAAGAAAAATCACAGCTCCATGGTTCCCTATTTTATTCAACTCCCTTCTGCCATCTTAATTAGGAAAAGTTCTATTTTATGAAATCAGTTCAGCTCCATGGTGCCTATTTTATTGCAGAAATCCCTTCTGCCATCTTAATAAGGAAAAGCCCACAACTTCATGGTTCCTATTTTTATGAAATTTCTGCCAGCCCAAGGTCATAAATTCCTAGTTTTATTCAACTGCCCCTTCTGCCATCAAAGGTTCCTATTTTTAATTAGGAAAAGCCATAAATCACTGCTCCATGGTTCCTATTTTATTCAACTCCCTTCTACCAGGTCAATTAGGAAAAGGCATAAATCCACAACTCACAGCTCCATTGTTCCTATTTTATGAAACTTCCTTCTACCAGCTTATTTAGGAAAAGGCCATCAATCACAGCTCCACAGTTCCTATTTTATGCAAATGAAACTTTTGCCATCCTAATTAGGAAAAGCCATAAATCACACCTCAATGGTTCCTATTTTATTCAAATACTAATTAGGAAAAGACATGAATCCAGCACCACAGTTCCTAGGTAAAACCATAAATGCCAGCTCAATTAGGAAAAGCCATAAATCACAGCTCCATGTTTCCTATTTTATGCAAACTGCTATCAGTTCTGCATAAATCACAACTCCATGGTTCCTATTTTATGAAATTAGGAAAAGAAAACCATAAATCACAGCTCCATGGTTCTTATTATATGAAACCCTTCCTTTCCATCTTTTTATGAAACTCCTATTTTTCTGCCATCCAATTAGGAAAAGCTATAAATCAAATCCACAGCTCCTTTGCCATCATGGTTCCTGAAATTTTATGAAACTCCTTCTATTCAACTAGCTTAATTAGGAAAAGGCATAAATCACAGCTCAATGGTTCCTATTTTATGAAACTCCTTCTGCCATCCTAATTTAGGAAAAGGTTACAAGGTTCCTATTTTTATGAAATGCCATCCTAATTAGAAAAAGCTCCTGCATGGTTCCTATTTTATGAAACTCCCTTCTGCCATCTTAATAAGAAAAACTCCCTTCATGGTTCCATTTTATTAATAGGAAAAAGGCATAAATCACAGCTCCATGGTTCCTATTTTATGAAACTCCCTTCTACCAGCTTAATTAGAAAAAGTCATA